TTCTCTTTTTACACTAAAACAAACTGCCAGGGTTTTTTTTGTTTTGTTTTGTTTTGTTTTTGTTTGTTTTTTTGCCATTGTTAATTCTGAGGTGTAGAGAGGTTTTCGAACCACATCAGGTGAGTAGGCCTGCTGCCAATGTACCTGTCCACAGTATATTTGTCATGAGTTGGAACTCCAGAGCAGAAATTCCTATCTAGGGTCCTTCCTGAAATTATTGGCAAAGAATTTGGACTCTCTCCATCTTTCTGAGTCCACAGCTTGATAGATTTTCAAATAAGTCGGCCACTCAGAAATGGTTAAGAACCACTTCCCTATAATCTTTCTTTGTAGCATCTTCCTCTTTCAACTTGAATATGAGAAAGAAGTGTGAGAAATGAAACACAATTTGATCTGAACCCCAACCATAGCTCTCTGTTACTGATAGAGCTCTTTCATTTCCTGGCTTCAGGACAGGTTGCTAGGTTGCCCTTCTGTGAGCTCTTGAGGGGACCTCTCATTTGCTGGATTTGCCATCACTGACCCCAGAGAAGGAGCAACTCCATGGAAACGGCATGGAGGGCTGTCCAGAGTGAATGGGTTGTGAAGCCAGGGGCTGGAAAACCTGCTCCATTTTCCATGACTTCTGGTTCTTGGAAGCAGGTTTTTACTTCACTTACGTCAGTTATGGCTAGAAGGCTTCCCTGTGGTTCTTGGTCTTGACTTCTGATACTTGAAAACAAATGAACAATCTGGTTCCCTTTTACTGCTGGGCTCATCATTTTCAACCTGCCAAGGTACTTCACCTGCTCCTTTCTGCTTTCTATATTTACAGCCCAATACATAGAGTTCCTTGAAGTAAAAAAATTCAGATTTGGAGATGAAGCACTTTTCATTTGAGGACTATAGACTTTTTCTTATGGATGGAATAGAGAGGGGAGGTAGAAAGTTCAACTTACACAGTCAGGAGTGATGCTGGCAGTAGCTCTTAGGTTTTCTTTAGACTCTTGATTCTGCTCTCTGATCCCATGACAACTGACCCTGGGTCTCAGTAGATTCTTCTGTGTTTATTTTTATTTATTTATTTTTTAAAATATATTTTATTGATTTTGTTCAGAGAGGAAGGGAGAGAGATAGAAAGCTAGAAACATCGATGAGAGAGAGTCATCGATCAGCTGCCTCTTGCACACCCCTTCCTGAGGTTATGCCCGCAACCAAGGTACATGCCCTTGACCGGAATCGAACCCAGGTCCCTTCAGTCCCCAAGCCGACACTCTATCCATTGAGCCAAACCGGTCTCGGCGATTCTTCTGTGTTTAAATTGACTTCATCACCAAATTAGGTGATCTGCAGTTGGACCTGGTGAGGGTGGATAAAATAGGAAAAATAATAGATCTTAAAGCTCTGACAAAAAATAGTGAAAGAAAATGGATTGTGTAAATATACTTGGATCTGGTCATTAGAACAAAGTGGGAGTTCTCTGCCCAAAACTGGGAGGAGGATTTGCTAATTTGGCTCCAACTGGGTACAGAGCATCCTTATCTCTGGCCTTAATATATGGACTGTGTTTCAATTTATGGCTCAATTGAGACCACATTTTTCAATTTTTACAAAGGAACCTTAATAGACCAAAGTTTAAGAAGATAAAAGCTTTCAATTGAACAGTTGAAACAATAATGGTTGCCCTTGACTGCCTGCCTCTGTTCCAGGAACTTTCCATCTGTTATCTTATTTAAGCTTCTCAGCAACCCTGTCAAGAAAGCATGCTATTCCGTTTTGCAGATCCAGAAACTGAGTTTCTGGGAGGTTAAGTAAATTGCATAAGGCCACATAGCTGGTTAATGGAGGTACTGGGACTCCAGTGCAGGGCTGTCAAACTACAAAGGCCATGAACAGCTATTTTCTGCTGTCTTCCAAACAAATAATTGAAAAGAACTCTGCAGATGACACAGTACATTAGATTGACTTTAGCCTTTAAAACAATGCAGTTGCAATCTTTATTCCTGGGATATCATTTTTTAAAGAGAAACTACTAATATAACTCATGGAGTAACTTAAATACCAAGTACTGTGCTAAGCATTTTATATTTTTTATCTCATGAATCCTTCATGACAATAATTTTACAGATAAGCATACTGAGGTAAAGTGACAGAGACTTGGCCAAGGTCATAAAGCTAGGAATTGGCACTGCAAAATTCAAACCCACAATGTACTGCAGTGTGGAAAACAAATATGGCCCTTATTCTAAATCATCTCTCTGCCAGCCACACCTATATCTCCTTCCCATGGTCTGCATTCAGCGCCATGCACTACTCATGCTTTTAAGCCACAGTGCCTAAGGCCTCTTCCTCAGCCTAGAATATCTGCCCTCACTCCTCTACTTAATGAGGGTCTGCTTATTGGTTAAGGATCAAGTCAAATGCTCCCCTTGAACAAAAAAATTTGGCTGCTCCCTGCCCCAGGAGGAATACATAGCTTTTGCCTTTATACTCTGTCCTTGATTGCACACTTTATTTTGCTTTCTAGTATAGATTAGCTCATTGTTAATCTGTCTATCCCTCTATATTCCCAAGCCCTTTAGGGCAGGCACAAAGTTCTATTCACTTCCAGCTCCACAGTGTTTTACCCACAGTTATTCACTAGATGATCATACATGCATATGAATACATGTTTGTGAGCTGACCAAAAAATTGGCTCATGTATGCCCTGAATGAATGGACAAATATGGGGCCGGATCCTGGGATGGTTAAACAGGCTTTCGATCTGGACTAGTCTGGCCAGGGGAGTCTGGAATCCCCCGGGTTCACTTTACTAGGCTATAAATGCAGGAGACACAGTCCAACTCCAGGCCAATCCTGTGGTCTTGACTTCAAAATTCATCTTAAGAGGGCAGGCTGTCTGGGATTTTTTAACATCTTGGCATTCACAGAAGAAAAGTCTTTCCCACCTCCAAATGAACATGGGATTGGTTCCACCATACCACATCATCTGGTTCTGACTGGCCTGAAAATGTCCTGCAGGAGCATTTGCTTTGTGGAGACAGATGTGAGTCAGGAAGCATCTTATTTTTATTTATTTATTTTTATTGAGGCCACCATGCTATGGATGCTCAACCACTTTATCTCATTTGATTTTATTAATCTTCACAATTACATATCAAAAGAGATCTATTGTCTCTATTTTATAACTGAAGAAACCAAGACTTGGTAAAGTTTCTTGAAAGATCAGACAACTAAGTGTGGAGGCAGAATTCAGTCTTAGGTTAGTCTGTCCCCAAGACTAGCCTCTGAACAAGAAAAAGTGGACTCTCTCCTCGCTCCCATTAACTAGGAAAAATTAGATTTATAAAATGACAAATTAGATGTTTAAGGTCAGATATGTCTAAATAATTAACCTTTAATCCCTGAAAATGACTTGGGGGGAGGGGGGGAGAAGCAAAAAAAAAATCAGGGATTGAAAAGTACAATTAATTCTTCTATCATATATTTGCCAAAATTTTCCCATGTCAATGCCCTGACATGCACAGTATGAGGATGCCTAGAGAGATTTTTCATCCTGTTTGTTCATTTTATAACTCAGATGGAGGAGGCTACAAGATATAAATTAATTTCTAAAGGTCACCGAGGAAGTTGATAACAGAACTGGCACTCAGAATGATGGTCTGTCAAGTCCTAGTTCAGTTTTCTTTCTACTAAGTCTTATGCAGCTAGTCAACACATGTTTTTAGGTTACTTAGGAAAATATTGGCAGAAAGTGGTACATTATTGCACTCTGAAATAGAAGAAGGAATAGACATTTCCCCCATCACTCATCTTTATTTAGGTGCAGGTAAAAGTTGGGGAAGAAGTCACTTGGGAGGACAGCTGGGAAATTAGGAGGCCAGTGGCTTTAGGAGCCTGAGTGGAGCTACCTCCTGCCTGGGGTGAGGAAGGTGTCCCTTTGGCTTTGGAGAGATGGAGGTCACTGCCAGGACCCCAGAGGGATGCAGGGAGTGGGCCTCTTTAGCCTTTGCTCCTGGCCAGTGCTCAGCTAAAGGATCCCAAGCAGAGGGACCCTCACAGTCCCTCAGCTTAGCGGAGCTCCTATGTCCTTCCTGACAAGCTTTCTTAGGTTCTCAGATCCACACTGAGCATTAAATTGTTCCTGAGCACTGCTTCTTCCCTTTTTATAATGGTTCTGACCCAGAGGCAATTCTGTCTGCCCTCCCCCCTGAAACATATGGCAATATGGAGATCTTTTTTGTTGTCATGGCTATTTAGGTCATAACTGGTGCTACTGGCACCCAGTATGTAGAGGCCAGGATACTACTAAATACCCTATAATGTACAGGAGAGGCACTAGAACAAGGAATTTTCTGACCCAAAGTATTACTAGTGTCAAGGCTGAGAACCTCTGCTCTCCCATACAAGGTTAGGCATGGAAATTGGTAGGTGCAGAGCCTTTTGGTGCTGCATTTCTAGGAACAGCTCCTCTTTCTATTCCTCATTCTGATAGAGGAACATGAAACAGCTACAACATAGGCAAGAATCTATAGAAACAGAGTAGAGGAAGACTCACCATTCCTGAAACTTCTAACTTGTAAAGACAACTTTTAAATGCCTTTCTGCTGTACAAGATAGTGCCACTTTTCAGAAAGAGAATAACAATTTATTATTCTAGCAACTTATAAAATGTGACTTTTCATATGGTGAAAACAGAATATAATAGCTTTGGAGCCCTCTTTCTCCAGTTTCATTCAATCTTAAACTTTCTTTGAATATTAGAGTATTTGCTGTATCAACAAAACACAATAGAGGTGACTCCATAAAAACTAACTGCTTTTGTTTTACTTCGTCCTTAAGAGAGTTCTTATTTCTCAGAAACTGAACCAAAGAGTGGCTTGTTTCCTGAAAGCCTAGTTTCTCCGCACTCTCTTTTGTACTAAGCAGTGAAAATGCTAACTAACAGATTTAATAGTCAGCCTAACCTATTCCCCCCAACTCTTGCCAGTTTATTCCATCTGCACCCAGTTATCTCCAGCATGGGGGAACCGAACCACTCTCCCGGGAAGGAGCTTCAGCACTGGACGCAAGCAGAGACTCCTGGAAAGAAAAGCTGGCATTCTCAGGCCTATGCCCTTGGGGCCATTTCCAATTTTATGTCTACTTTTCTGACCTTTCCTATCTATAAGGTTGTATTCCGGCAACAGATCCATGCTGTGACGGTGTCAGAGGCTCTGCGACAGCTTTGGCATGAAGGCCCCCAATACTTCTACAGGGGAATCTACCCGCCTCTTCTCTCCAAGACGTTGCAAGGGACTCTACTATTTGGGACTTATGATAGCCTGCTGTGCTCTCTTTCCCCTGTTGGGCCACACTCTCTGGGACACCGCTGGGCTGCAGGGCTCATGTCTGGTGTGGTGGAGGCTGTGGCACTCAGCCCCTTTGAAAGGGTGCAAAACGTGCTCCAAGATGGTCGCAAGCAAGCTCGCTTCCCTAGTACTTTCAGCATTCTCAAGGAATTCAACTCTTATGGGCTTTGGGGGCGGCTGTCGCTGGGGTACTATCGTGGTTTCTGGCCTGTCCTTCTCAGGAACAGCCTGGGGAGTGCTCTGTATTTCTCCTTCAAGGACCCCATCCAGGATGGCTTGGCAAAACAAGGCCTACCTCACTGGGTCCCTGCCATGGTGTCTGGAAGTGTCAATGGAACAATTACCTGCCTAGTTCTCTACCCTCTGATTGTACTAGTTGCCAATATGCAGTCTCATATTGGCTGGCAGAGCATGCCCAGCCTGTGGGCCTCTGCCCAGGACATGTGGGACACTCGAGGCCGAAAGGTGTTCCTGATCTACCGTGGAGGATCCCTCGTCATCCTAAGGTCCAGTGTGACATGGGGCCTCACTACCGCTATCCATGACTTCCTTCAGAGGAAGTCTCATTCCAAGAAAGACTGAAAGACTGACTAGCTTCAGGAAGTGTGACCATGGCAACTTTGTTATTCTGAGTATTCTCGTGTTTATCTAAATAGCTTACTTCTTTGGCTTAATTATCTAATACAATCATTCTTTAGCATATTTGAACTGTCAGTGCACTAGAGAAGTTCCCAACCACTACCCTGTTGGGAACAGACAAAGCCCAGAATCTTTCCTTGATCAGAAAAAGAAAGTCATTCTTGCCGATCCACAGCTTCAACAGTCCTGGACTTAGGAGCCTATAAATAACTTGTCACCCAGATGAAATGTAATTTCTTTAAGGAATTCTTTGACAATAAGAGGAAAGTTTAAAAGAACTTTAATTAGGCACTTTGAGTTTTGGGACCCCTCTTGTTCTCTGGATCAAACTGAGTTGAGGACCAGGAACTCCAATTTCAAAGAACTAAAGCTTGACTCTTAAGATGTCATGTGTTCTTGGTGTTCTTCAATACCTCCTACTAGACTGTAAAACTCCTAGAAGACAGGGATTCTTGTACACATTTTAAATTTTCTATTGTGCCTAGGTGCTCAATAATGATTGGATTATTAAATTATCAAACTGTGATATGGTCTTTATCCTCAGGGAGCTGTCTCTTGTACATGAAGACAATGTTACCAACTCACATACTTTTGGGGTGTGATTTTGTTTTCTTTTATTAGTATATTTAGTTTTGTGTTAATGATAATGATGCTGCTGCTGATAATCCTATATAATAAAGATGCAAATGGTTGTCATGCCCTCATGCCATCTTTCGGTAATGGCTCAGACACTCAACACTGGGGAGAGAGGAATGGGGACCAGCCAGGCTACGGCCCAGCAGAGGGACAACCCATGTGCCCCATGGTCCCCACAGTCCTGGGTGCCAGTGGCTGCTCCTGTAGCCTGGGAGAAGGACAAGCTGCCCACCCCAGGGTCCTAGGTGCTTGCAGCTACAGCCCAGGCAAAGCCACTCACCCACAGTTCCTTGTAGCTGCAGCCAGCCCAGCCACGCTGGCCCAGGTCCTATGTGCCTGCAGCCAGCTGGAGGGAGGAAGCCCCGGTCCTGGGTGCCTGCAACTGGCTGGAAGATAGAATCTTGGGTCCCAGGTGCAGGGCGAGGAAGAGGTGGTTAAGGGTGATCAGGAGGCAGGCAGAGGGGTTAGGGGCAATCAGGCAGGCAGGCAGGCAAGCGGTTAGGAGACAGCGGTACTGGATTGCGAGAGGTAGTCAGACATCCCCCAAGGGATCCTGGATTGGAGAGGGTGCAGGCTGGGCTGAGGGACATCCCCCCCCCCCGCATGCACAAATTTCATACACCAGGTCTCTAGTATCTATAATAATAAAAGCATAATATGCTAATTAGACCAGGTGACCTTCTGGAAGAAGCCAGAGCTGCAAGGAAAGCCCGGGTCTTGGGTGCCAGAGGGAAGCAGCAGCCAGGGGGCAGGAAGGCCTATGCTTTCACGAACTTCATGCATCAGGCCTCTAGTATGTAATAAGTGACTTTCAACGGGAACATTTGACCAGTTTGTTATTGATGGTATGTTTGCTATTAGCAACACTTTAGGAACTGAAATTTCACTAACAGAAACATATTGCTTAACAGTCTCTTTAATTGCAGCTGGAAATTTGAGGATTTTCAAGATGACATATGTTGTAGTTTTTCCCTTATATGATAGATATATTAATGACCTCCAATTGCACATCCATACCCAACTGAATTTGTCATTTGTAATGATGTGATTGTAGATCCTTGTAGTGAGAATTCCTTCACTGAATATCACAAAAATTAGACACCACTGTAGGTGATACGTAATCAGAGAGCATTTGCCAGCAAGGTCAAAAGAAAATGGCTGGTCCAGAATATCTGCCAATGAGTTCCTATGTATGATCCCATGCAGACTTAGATGGGATAGGGTTATACTCTGCCTATAGACTCAAGGAGTAAAAACACAGAGTCTGCACAAGTGACAGCAAAATAGAACAGCAACTAGGCTAGCTCAGAAGAAAGAAAATGTTATTTACAAAAATTCATAACTTAGCTATAATTTTGGTTTTTAAGCTGAAAAGGAGAGGATACGTTATTGTATTTACCCACATTTTTATGCAAGAGATGCATTTATTTCCAACTATGCTGTCAATTTCCACTTAAGTCACTGCCAGTATATGTCCCTTTTTTTATTTTAAGTTATTTAGAAATTATTTCAAACTTTTAAAAAATTGCCAGCATAACTAAAGTATATAGCACATCCCCATGCTCTTTACCCAAATTTAGCTACTGTTAACATTATTTACAGTTGCTTTATTATTTGAAACTTCATTCTTTGCTACACACACACACACACACACACACACACACACACACACACACAAACGACATTTTTCCTGAACTATCAGAGTTTCAATTGTAGTATTTCTAGATTCAATGTTTATAGATTCAAATTATTTTTAAAAGACTGTTTTATCTCTATGAAAATGGTACAGTTATTATAGAATATCAGAAAATCCAATTTCATGGCATATTTTAAAGCTACATTGGTGGTAATTGTTTCAATATGCCTTTATAAAATCTTTAAATTTACATTAGTTATATTAATATTTGAAGTTATGCAATTATAACATAAATCCAAATTTACAAATAAAGCATGTTATAACTTAAATATTTTTTAAAAATTGGTTCATAATAAAAATATAGGCAAAATTATAAAATTATATAAACCTATCAACTTTTACCATTTAAATCTTTTGAGAAAAGTTTAAGAGTATAATCGTTTCTAGTAATTTTAAATGTCCATATTTAGTTTTGTGAAGTTAATGTGGTTAGATTTTCTGATGTCTAAAAATGGCTTTTGAACTTGAGATCAATAAAATAAGGAGGTTTTTAAATACTGATGTCTTTAAAACTTATAAAATGTAAAATTTAACACTAAAGCTACTTGGTATAAAAAGTTGAAAGAAAAATAATAAAATTCCCTGTATAAGCCCTGTGTATTTTTGTCTAAATATAAATTACATAAACTTTTCTAAAATATAAGGTGAAATAATAAATGATTAATGTATTAAAACTAATGTGTTTTGCTAAGTGAAATAAGCCAGTCAGAGAAAGAATAATATCACATGATCTCACTCATTTATGGAATATAATGGACAACATAAACTGATGAACAAAAACAGATCCAGAGACAGAGAAACATCCATTAGACTGCCAAACCTCAGAGGGAAGGTAGAGGGTGGGGATAAGTGCAACCAAAGGACTTGTATGCATGCATAGAAGCATAAACTGTGGACACAAACACCAGGTGGTGAGGGCATGAGTGGGAGGGATTGGGGGTAAACACATATGTAATACCTTAATCAATAAAGAAATTTTAAAAAATATATAAAAAACTAACGTATTAACACAATTATATGGTTTATTGATATTTAATTTTGCTTTTAAATTTTATTTTAAAACATTAAATAGCATTATAATCTACATGTTCAGGATAACTGCATATAATAATGTAACATATGATAGAAAAAAGCACAATAAATCAGGAAATTGTGAAAAATTTCATGAAAAGAATAAGAAATACTATAATTTTCTGTTCTGTTCACTTCAATTTCTGTTTCTTTGATACCTTCTTCTTTCTAATAAAATCTTCAACACCTTTTTCTCATCCTCAATCCCAGTTGGTGACCTTGATTTTCATTTAATTAAGAAAGAAGGAGCATTCAAAAGAGAACTGCCAGTTAAAAGAACATTTATAAAGCTACTAGGAGCCCAGTGCGCGATTCAAAATAGCGTGGCACTGCCCACTCTCGAGTCACAGGTCAGGCCCTGCCTTGCCTTGCTCCCAGGGCCCCTCATCAGCCACTGCCAGTCTGGCCCTGCCTCCCTCTCCAGCCCTTGAAGCAGCCACAGCAGCTGCTGATCAGGCCCTCCCTGAGAGCAGGTTCTTGGAGCCCCTGCTGCCCGCCCTCGACACTGCATGTGCAACCTCCTCCTGTCTGGCCAGCCCATTACAGTGTCCTGGTTAATTAGCATATTTCTCTAATATATATATATATATATATATATATATATATATATATATATATATATGCCACTTAACGACTACCCAGGACAAGAAGTAGAACACATTGATTACCCCAACCCCTCACTCCTCTTGCTCCCCAATCCCAAGGCATGACATTCCTCTACCTTCCTAGAGGTAACCCCTATCCTGACTATTGTAAGTTCCTTCTTTCTTTCTTTCTTTCTTTCTTTCTTTCTTTCTTTCTTTCTTTCTTTCTTTCTTTCTTTCTTTCTTTCTTTCTTTTTTGCTTTTCTTTATAGGTTTATCTTCTATATAAGTAAGCAAACCTAAGCAATACAGTTTTGTTTTTACAGATATTTAAACTTTGTATACTTGGAATTGTGACTGTCTTCTCTCACTTCACATTATTTGTGAGAATCATTCATGTTGTTGCAGGTAGTGGTGGTTATTTCAATAATGATAAATTTACTTTAAAAAGCCTTTATTCCTTAGAGCAATTTTAGGTTCACAGCAAATTTGAGAGGAAGTTACAGGGGTTTTCTGTACATTCCCTACCCCTACATATACATAGCCTCTCTCATTATCTACATTTATAACAATTATCACTTAAAATCCAGTTTATATTAGAGTTCACTCTTGGTACACTTCCTATGGGTTTGGACAAATGTATCATGACATGTATATACCATTATAGTATCATACAAAGTAGTTCCACTGCCCACCACTCAAATCCTCTGTATTCTACTGTTCATTTCCCTCCAGCTTCTGGCAACCACTGATTTTTTTTACTCTCTCCATAGTTTACATTAAAGAGAATGTTTATATAGTTAAAATCATACTGTATGTAGCCTTTTCAGATTTGTTTCTTTCATTTAGTAATATGCAATTAAGATTCCTCCATATCATTTTTAGCTTGAAAGCTCATTTATTTTAAGAACTGAATAAATAGGTGTATCACAATTTATTTATTCACTCATCTACTG